ATTAGCGTAGAGAGAGTCCCTTTTGCACTATAGTGATATGTGCGCCTGTCTTTTTTTTAAGGGGTAAACCTGTAATCCACATTCCGGGATTTTAGTGCAACTATTTATTGGCTAGCTTTGACGAACCAATCATAAGGTCTTGCATGAGAATGTGGGTCATGGGTCTCGTTGGGTTGGTGTGAGAAGTCGAGGATCACTATTACTAGGTTGGGTGGAGTGCCTTGACAGTCACTTTTCTTGATCTATTGGTACGAGACCACTTCTAGGTATCTTGTTTTGAGTGTAATAAATGTTTTTGTGGATGTTAGAAATTCTCAGAATTTTTAAAATTATTTCAGTAAGAAAAACCCTTGGAAGGGCATTTTAGAAATTACAAGGATTGTAGAAGGGTGAGGTGGAACATGTGGGGGCCTTTGGATCCAGCCCACCTGTGCACCACTCTCACATGTGTGGGACTTGGAGCCCATGGGGGCCACACATCACACCAATGAGTTGGCACGCCCCCGTGTTTTGGTTTTATTTTTTAGAAGGTGTTTTATTAAGGAAGGATATCCAATATAATCTTTTTGAAAAGATTTTTTGACCTTATTTTGCGGGACTAAAGAATATTTTCAAAAGTATTCTTCTTATCTTTGACCACATCTTTTGTCTTTTGACTTCCTACAATCATGTGAGATGAGGGAAGTTCTGTTTTTTGATTGATCTTATCCTAGGTTGATTGGAAGTGGATATGGGTCAAAGATTCAAGGGATAAGGTTCCTAGCTTCCTCCATAAATCATGATAGCTAATTCATGGGATGAATGACTAAGATTTGTTCCTCTCTCACCTCATAGATTACCTAAAATCCTATGGGTCATGATAAGTCATAAATTTGATAGGCATTCCTAGGGCCTTTGAGGCCTATATAAGGAGGGGACCTTCATTTTCTAGACCACGTTTTAGCCTCTCTCTCTCTCCTCCCCCCACCACGCACCCTATTCTCTCCTTTTCTCTCTCCTCTCTAGTCAACAGAAGAGTCGCAGACACCACCTTAGGCAGCTAGGGTGGCACGCCAAGCAAAGACAACGGGCTCGTCTAGCCCAGAGCAAGACAAGGGAGGTGCCATTTGTGGCATGCCCTAGAGAGGTCCAAAAGGGGTCTAAGAAACCCTAATTTTGTTTATGCTCTCAAAACCCTAGGAAGCTTCCTGATTCAAGAAATTCAGCAGGGGCAATAGGATCAAAGTGTGCCATCAGTTAGGTAATCGGGTGTGGGATGTACGAATCCCTAAAGGGGTGACCCCAGTCAAAGTCAAGAAAGTCTTTTGGGCTCTCTTAGTTTATTAAGAATCCTTAAAGGGGTGACCCTAGGCAAAGTCAAGAAAATCTTTTGGGCTCTCTTAGTTTATTTTCAGTAATTAATTTTCGGTTTTATTACAATTTTCTGGAACATTATGTGGATTGGAATTTCTTAGTTTAAGCTTGTATTTAGTCCTTGGATTGTGTCTAATTCTATTTGGCCAGTAAAAGGAAAGATCCTTGGTTATATTTAGGGTTTTATTCTTTGTTTTACAGCAGTGTTTTGTGACACTTGAAAGTGAAATTCGAATACACTAATAAAATAATTTTTTTTGATTTTACTCTCTTGAATTCCATGTGGTCACTTCTTTCAAAGGAGGGGATCCCCTATTCATTGGTCATTCCAGAAATTAACTTTTTATCCACCTCTGTCATTAAAGGGAATGCGATTTTAAATTGGTTCATGCTTTCCAAATTGAGCACCAAGCTCCTAAGGATCATACATTTGGGTTGCAACTTGTTAACCAGGCTGATTGGGGCACTTGGTTTTATTGCCTAACCACTGTTTCTTTGGTGGCGTAGCACCACCACCTTTTTCCAAGGAGGGTGGTCTTGTATTGCCTTAGGTTTCAGATGCCTAGACCAACCTGCAGCTTGAGGGGGCCAAATAGTTTCCCAAACTATGAGGTGGAATTTGTGACTTCACTCATTTTGGACCATAAGAAACTTTCTTCATTAGCCTCTCAAGTCGCAACGTGGTTCAGGCATGCATCTGAAAGAGGGACAGTTGATAGGTGGGAAATTTGATAGGTGGGAACATTTGTAAGGGTGGCTTTGAATTTTGATTATTGTAATGCAGGTGGTGAAGGAGTGAACCTTCCTTTCCCGGCTGCTAGTTTTTGACAGAATGATTCCATTTTGGGTTCCCACAACTGTTTCTGAGGTTTGCAAATGCAAATTGGAGGACTAAGCTATTTGGTGGGCAAGCATTTACACCACGGCCTAGCCTTTTGGCAAGGACTTGAGTTGTTTGGTAGTCTCTGGCAATGCCATGATCTTTTATTTGGCCATAATGATCTTGAGGCCAATGGTGAGCTCTTAGCATTTAAGATAAAGCCACAGGCTGCTGAGTAGCGCTAGGCATATTGCAAGTGGAAGACAATTGGCCCTTGGTTGCCCACTTGGAAACCTTTCAAAAGGCCTTCCTGTTACATTCTTTCCATCGAGTCAAACTTTCCTATAGAATACATTCTTTCCATTGATTTACTGAATACCTCAACTATAACCTCGGATAGGAAAGGGGATAGGGGGTCCTTCCTGCTACATTCCTGCAGATCCCTTCTATATTATTTATAGGAAGTACACTATCCTCCCCTTGCATCACGTCCAAGGAAGTACATTCCGTAGTTATGGGGATGACTACTGGGGTGGTGAACCTGCTCTAGAACCGCAATACTGGAATCCAAGAGTGGGTTTTGTAGGGTAATGCGATCCCTTGAGTGTCCAGAGCACAATCCCAATGGTTAGGGAAATGTGATCCTTGAGCCAAGGGATTGTTCGGATAATCTGAGCATGTTATTTTGTCATAGGAAAAGGAAATGTAGTACTGTCCCCTCCTTTGCCGATAAAAAGTGTGGACAATACCAATTTGGGAATGTTTAGATTAATGAAATGGCAAATATGTAACTCATTATTGACCTTTGGCACTATTTCGACATTTTAAAATTAAATAGCTTGAAAATTCATGTATGGCTGCATGCCTAAAGATCCAAACATATCAAAGTGTGATAAATCACCCATTATATCCAATATCCTTTACGGATAAATATCTTGTTGGCAGTATAATCTGATTTTGAAAGAAAAATAATCCATATTGTCAAATAATATATTTTCTCACTCAAATTTTATAATTTTGATTAGAATTTGATTTTAGAATGATATTAGTATCAGTGATTGATGACATGCATGACTATATGCTGAGTTGTTGGTATTTTAAGATTAAACTACCTTAAGAAGTCCCATGTGGTCCTGCCAAAAGAGGGAAAAAACCAAAAAAGAAAAGAAAAAATAGAAGTCCTATGTGGTCACATTCCCATTGTTCCCATCGTTCAAGAAACATCTTGCTGCTGGCATTGGCACCTAGTTACCTGGGCAGCCCAAATAGAGAGGAAGGGGTGTTGAGTCCTCTAGGAGGTTGTCGGGGGTCTGTGTTGGATACCAAGTCCCCCTAATTGAACCAGGTAAAAAGAATTTAAGGAAGAAAACTACTTTAAGTATTCACGTACATGCATTTGTTTGAGGGGCGGGGCGTAACAGCGTCAAAGCTGTGTTACGAACCTGAGACCCTGAGGCACATCAAAACCTAGCCACGATGATGGCAGGTTAAGCTGTCCACATACATGCATTTGTTTGAAACTTGAAATTGAATGAGTAAAAGTCTGAGACTTTAGAAGATTATAACTTTCCTAAAATTCATACGAAATTGTATGTATCATTAAATAGTTATGTAAACAAACCATTGTGATTCCAATGTGTCATAGTCAGTCCATACTCCACGATCCACGTCGGCCATCGTATAAACAGAGTGTCACAATTCACAAAAGTTCAAACTCAAAAGACTTAAAACAACAGAACCGGGAAAAAGACAAAAAAGTATGGGTCTCTACATTTCTTGAGTTCTTAATAAAACAAAAAACATAATGTTTTTTTTTTCTTGATCTTGTGAAATCGCACCAATCTATGTTTTTGATGGGCCTCTCTCTCTAAAAAGTGAAGCAAAAGGATTGATCAGCAGATAACAGCTAGACCTTGCTGAATTAAGGCATACATCTATGCAAATCAACATTGTTTCGAGAAACTGAAAATGGCTATTGCCAGAAATTAAAAATTGAGCAATAAAAAAAAAAATAATTCAAATCTACACGAGTCAAACTCTGTAAGGGCAAACACTTCTTATAAATCGACCCTAAGACTTTTAGAACAAATCATTGAGGCTTTCTTGAGGTTAGGCTGCATATCAGAGATCTGAGGCTTGCTGAGTTGTTTTTGAACAAAGAACTCCAATTTCACATTATTCTGATTTTGAGAAAAAAGGTTGTTAATTCTAAAAATTGTTTTTGGGTCTACAAGGGCATGCAGAAAGGCTTTGGACTCAAACTTGAGGGTGAATACCCAAAAATGAGCTCCAAATGATTGATATTTTGGCGGATGAAAAGAGACAAAATGGGCAGACTTGGTGATTTCGACAAGACTCACTCAAGACCCGGCAATGGCCTGAGTCTCGCTGAATTGGATGGTTCACTACAGTGAACTAGTTGTGTTAGGTTCAATGGGCGAGTCTCACATTTGGATTCCCCTAGTACCGAAGAGCCAGCTATTCTGAGGGTTCATTAAAATGAACTGGTTGGGTTAGGTTCAACAGGCGAGTCTATGGTTTTGGAGTCCTCCAGCACCAAGGAGCCACCAGTTCTGTGCTACTTGTTCGATCCTGAGCCCAAGTAGCCAGTTTCTCAATCACTCCGGAAGGTTTACAAATTATCTCGACTTTGATGATTTGGCTTTAAAAATTTGATGGAATTTATTGATATATTTCTGATTGTCTTGTATTAAGAAACAGTAAGTTTGAAGGGATTTCTTGCCATACTGCTAAACTATATTTTGCTTTCAAGTATTGATTTTATTGGAAACTTGTATATGTTTATGCTTCATTTATTTTCATTCAGACAGCTTCACCAACTACTTTAGGGAAGGAAATGGCTATATTTGCTATCCGATTAAGCCGGCAAAGAAAGTCGATTTCGCATGTTCAATTGATGGGAAAGTTTGCTGGTGCAGTTGGAAATTATAATGCACATCTTGTGGCATATCCTGACATTAACTGGCCACTTGTTGCTGAAGAGTTTGTGACATCGTTGGGAATAAACTTCAACCCTTACGTGACACAGGTAAGCGTTGACATTGTTCATATAGGTACTGTTAACCTTTTCTAATTTAGATTTGGATTTTGCTTCAGCCTGTCTATTAATCAGTTACATGGATACTGACATGGGCATCACGTCTAGTACATGTCTTAAGTGTCTAGTACTTTGGCCTAAAAAGTAGACAAGACTATACAAGTATGTACAAGTAATTTTTCAAAACATATATATATATATATATATATATATATATATATATATATATATATATATATAGAGCGTGGTTTGTATAAGGTTGCGACCTTCAACAATTCAAATAAGGTGCACCTCCAAATTTTATCACAAGATGTAATAATATTGGTGTCAAATTTTTTTAGGATGACCTTATATTCCCTATACATCTCTAATAGTGAATTTTTAAACTCTAAAAATGGTTTAAATCAAGTAGATCTATAAACACATAAAAATCTTGAAAATAAACGGTCTAGATAATGTGTTGCAAACTATTTTTTGGACTCGAAATCTTTATTTTTTCACATATTCATACATCTCGATGTTGAGATGATCAATTAGAGGGTTTTCCAACATCAAGACAACCTTTTTTTTTTTTTTGAATAAGTTGATTGTGTTGAACTGAAAGTGAGTACAAAATGTGAGAGGAGAGGGGGGGCAGGATATCCACCCAAAAAATAGGTAACCCACAAATGGATGCTCTGTACAAAACCAAGGGTATATCAAAACAGCTTTACATGAATTGAGCCATTATATCAATTCCAATCTGTGATAGGGACTCAAGTTGAGGTTCCCTAAGGGTTGCTCAGGTTGGCTTGAGACAAGGTTGCAGCTGCCTTTGCTAGGAATCAGCCTCACCATTTGTAGATTTGTAGATTCCTTGTGAGTTGACAGATTTTTTCGAATATGTTGTCAAGCCTCCAAGGCCAGGGGGCAGTGCTTGAGGCCCAGGCTATAACACTATAAGAGTTGCCTTCAATGGTTACATATTACCAATGGTTTAAAAAGTGGATCGGTGACCCGGATCGGGCACCTCACAAACCGATCCGGATCGGCGAATCGGCGATCCGGATCGGGAATCGACTGAATCGGTCGGATTAAAGTTTCAAAAAAATCCGAAAAAATTATTAAAATTCATTATAAATGTTGTTTTTTAGGAATCCAACAAGAAATGAGGGTACTACATTGTTAACTTTCATTTTTTTCATCAATTTGTCAATATTGAGATGCTCTTTCCCTATATGAACTTAAGTATTAAATTTGCATCACATAAAAGAAAAATCATAGAATTATCATGGATAAAATATATAATTATACATGGACTATAATAAAGAGTAGACTAAATCAATGAAAGAATGGCCATTAAAATCTCGTTTTGGCGAAAAACCCTAATCCGTTAAAAAAACCCAAATTATTACAGCCAAATTATCTATAATCCTAAATTATTACAACTTAACTAATTACAATTCAGTTTACATTTTATAATTATTTTATTAGACAAATAATAACAAATTAAAAATATTTTATAATATTATCTAATTTAAAATGTATTATTGACAACTGTAAGAAAAATAGTACATTACATGATTTATAATGTAAAAATTAATAAATAAAATAAAAGATTTGGTTATCAATGTAAAAATTAATAAAATGCGTACGAATTTTGGAAATAACATTTCAATTTTTCAAAAATTTAATTTTTTAGGTTTCTATAATAAATTTAGTGAAAGAGATTGTTAGTAGAAAGAGAGAGATTTCAAATAGACTAAAATTTTTATTTTTTATTTTTTTATGCCTTTCATATTATTTACAAAAATAATTATACTACAATATACAACGAAAATTAACTGCTATACAAAAAAATAACTTTTTTTTTTTTCAATTTTTTAGGCCTTTTATATTATTTAAAAAAATATTTATGCCACTGCATACAACAAAAACTACTATACAACATATATACAACAAAAACTACTATACAACGCCCAAGGGGATTCGACCCTGGGACATCAAAGCAATAAACAGAGGTCATAACCATCATGCCGTCTCGCCGGATGTGATTATTAGTTGCTGATTAATAGAATATATTTACATTCCTTTTTCACTTTATGATGTTTAGGAAAAATCCCACATCGAAGGATCGGTATTCAACTTTGCTATGTAAATACCTATGTAATAGGAAGTGAAGTATACGCGTGGAAACATTGGGGCAACTTCACACGTGGTATGTGGCACGTGTCTGCTTGTCTCACGTGTCCGTGTCCGAGTGGTGACGTTAGAACCGTCGGTTGATGATGTCATCGGGCGGTTTACTGTTTAAAACCGCCCGGTTCTCTCTAGACATGGGCGGTTCCCGTTTTATGTGTGGAACCGGCTTGTTTTGTGGCGATTCCCGAGTCGAACCGGGCGAGTCCGGCTCGACTCGACGTTTTTTTAAACCCTGCATACTACCCCAAGCTAGTGTCTAACTTCCTGAGGCCTTCCCGGAGGGCAGAGGCCTCCGCAATTGTTGAATCAGAGGCACTAATGGGAAAAGGAGCAAAGGGTATTGCTGTTGTGGTCTTGGAACAAGCCACCTATGCTTGCATGGCCCGGGTTTCTGAGAGAACACCCATCGAAGTTAAGCTTGATGTGGCCCACTTTGGGTGGTCTCCAAAGGGAAAAGCATGATGGCCTCTGAGTTTTGAAGGAGAGAATGGGAGTCCAATTGTGGAGAAAGTCAGAGTGGCAAAGGTTTTAGAACTGTTTCTGGTGAGTGGCTCAGAAGATGACTGCTTCTCTGATCTTTTCTACTAGTTCTTTCACCGAAGATGACTGGCTTTGAAAAATTTTGGCATTTTTGTCAGTCCAGATTGTCCAAAGGGTGGCAACCACCAAGGCTTGCCATAGCAGGGTGTCGGCCTTAGGCCAGGGGGTTGAAAAGGTAGAACTGATGAGATGAGGGGCATCAAGTGGAGTCACTCATTGCCATTGGAATAACTGAAGGATGTCAGCCCATATAGACGAGGCCACCTTGCAATGGATGAAGAGGTGAGCATTGGTCTCCTCGTCCTCAGTGCACATAATGCATCTATTTGGGATTTGGAGACCCTTTCTCTGCAATTGATCCACTGTAAGGGCTCTCTCGGATCCAGCTATCCAATTGAAGAATTGAATCCTGGGGGAAACCAAAGGGACCCAAACTTTGTTTACAGTAGTGGGTAAGCAAGGGGGCTTCTGCGATGAGCTAGAGAAGAGTAGGAGGAGGCCACCGAGAAGGAACCCAAGTGGTTGGGGGTCCAGATGAGGCTATCTTGGCCTCGAAGGGGCAGGAAGTCAGTTTAGAGTGATGGAAAGGGCTGTGAATTCCTGAAATTCTGAATTCGAGAGTGGTCTTTTGAGGGTAGGACTCCACACCCTCCTATTACCCATCAGCTGAAACTGGGATTCCACAGTTGCATTAAAGTCACTGGCCAATAGGAGAAGTCTAGGGTATAGGTCTTTAAGGGGTGCATTCTCCAGCCAAGTATCGATCCAGAACAACGTTTTGTCGCCCTGCCTAGGCCTGTACCTAATCATGGACTGAAAGTGTGGGTAAGAACGCAGTATGGACTTCCATATCCCCGAGGAGTTGCTATGCACTCGTCGGGGGTCAGAATTGTGGTATTTCGAGTTCATCACCTCCTGTCAGAGATGGTTGTTTTGGGTAGCTAAGCGCCACCACCATTTCCCAAGTAGAGCATGATTATTTCTTTGAGGGTTCGAATGCCCAGCCCCCCTAGAGATTTAGATTTGCAGATATTCTTCCAAGATATAAGATGGATCTTCCTATCCCCATTACTGGACCACAAAAAGTTTCTCATTAGCTGCTCCAAACGGTGGGCACCAAGGCTGGCATATGAAAAAGTGACATCTGAATTATAGGGGTGCTAGAGAGAGTGGCTTTAATCAAAGTAAGGTGGCCTGCCGGAGATAGGAATTTGCCTTCCCACCCTGCCACTCTACAGTCATATTTGTCAATGACAACCTTTTCCGATGGATTTTTGAGGTTCACCTTGATTCTACATTTTAAGGTTGCAACCTTACATATACTTTTTCCATATATATATATATATATACTTGGATTCTTCTATTTGGGTCCTGAATGGATGTGGAATATATATCATAATTGTCACGGTTTTCTAACATTATGCACTTTGAATCCACGCTAGAGTTCATCTCGTGTGGTAACTGATATGCTTGCCAGAAGAATCTCACATGTTATTTAGTTATTTAATAAATTTATAGCATCCAAATGTAGAAATCCAAAAGTAAAGATAGATATTTATGGACTAGGATAAATGTTTTTAAAGTCTTAAACAGGAAACCATTATAAACAATTAGTAACTGTTTCGCACGACAACATGAGAGATTGATAAGAGTGACAAACCATGCATTTTATGGTGTCAGCAAAATTGGTCATTCCAACACATGGCAGTTTATGGCCAATATTTTCACTTTTCCTCTACGATGCTTGTGCTTTATTGCAAAATTAATTGGACTATATTTTTGCACATGATCACTATAATGCTTGAAAGGACTATCAGCATGAGCTGAATGTTTGGTTTATGCACATTCCAGTCTATGCCATTTGTCAACCAAACGTGACAATTGAGATGAATGATTGGCCTTGTAAATATTGGAATGCACTTAGTACATGATGTTGATGGAGTACCCACATGCACATGAGACTATCCTGTTCATTTATTGTTTTGTCTTTCATCTGCATGGGAGATTTGACAATGAATCATGCTGAAGCGCTTACTTGTGTTCATGCATTTGTAGCTACTAGTGGGTGTTTGAAAAACTTTCATGGTCTTTGGCTCAGCATTTTTTGTCCATTTGATCTTTTGTCTTGATTACTGTAGATTGAGCCACATGACTACATGGCAGAGCTCTTCCATGCTGTTACTCGTTTCAACAACATCTTATTGGATTTTGACAGAGACACATGGGGCTATATTTCTGTAGGTTACTTCAAGCAGGTGTGTTATGTTGAGGTTGTGTTTAATATTTTGAGAATTATGTTACCCCAAATTATATTTAGGAATTGGATTGCATGTTTCTTGGTTTGCTGATGTAATTGAGTTCATAAATCTGTTTCTACAGCAAACCAAAACTGGGGAAGTTGGTTCTTCAACCATGCCTCACAAAGTCAATCCCATTGATTTTGAGAACAGTGAGGGCAATCTGGGTCTCGCCAATGAAGTATTACATCACCTAAGTGCAAAGTTGCCTATTTCGCGCTGGCAGGTATTTGAGTTGTTCTATCGCATGTGCTCTGATATAATCATTCTGATTTGAGCTTGAACTACTTTTCACTAGAATGGACTGTGGCTTATGAAAGAAACCCACGCTTGGTGAAGGTGAAGGTGAAGGTCTTAGTTTTACAAGGGATATTACAAACTATAAAACATAGTCGAATAGCTGTTGCTTTGGAAGTGACATGGTTGGTGATATTGTGCAGTCACACAACCAACTTGTTTATAGGTGTGACCTGGCCAGCTAGGTGATGCAGGACAAGATACATCTTATTATTTTATTTTTCTTTTTAAATAGATTTTTCTTGGTGCAAATTTGCATCATTAGGCGTGGTAAACTTTTTAAAGAATGCACCATTCAACTCATTTCTAGTATTAATCCCTCAATAATGCATCTTGTTATAGACATCTCATAGTCTGGCGTTGTAGGACGAGTCCCTTTGAAGGTCGTAATTAGTTTTCTCCTCATTTTTTTGGTTTCGTCGTGTGATCTACCCAGCTTGCACTTATGCATATCTGCTAATGTAATTCATTTTGTGCAGCGTGACCTAACAGATTCCACTGTTTTAAGGAATCTCGGTGTTTGTTTGGGGTATGCTGTTCTTGCATACAAGAGTGCTTTACAAGGAATTAGAAAGCTGGAGGTACACTTCGTATAAGCTGTGTTATTTTTGTGGGTTGTTTGTTTTGATTTGCTGTTGAGAGTCTCCAATATCATTGTTATTTGCAAAAAAAGATAAAAAAGGAATGGTTGTTGGTTCACCGAGATCCTTATTGTTGTGTATGGTGATGGAACTGGAAGCTGGGGAAGGGAATGAGTAACCTATTACAAAAACCTCATGCTTTCAGCTCCTACTTTTTGTCCTTTCAAAGTTTATAGTGCTTACGGATCAGCAATGATCTCTAAATTGTTCAGCTGATGGTTTGGAGCTTTTCTTTTTATCAGGTTGTTTTTAGAAAAAGCTGTTTACTACAAGCATCAATTTTCTTGTCTTTTTCCTTTCAGAAATATCATGTAGCTGCATCCTCCTCCCACACACGTCTGTGGTTGTCTGTCTCTCTATATATAAGGGAGATGTCTGTCTATGTATATGAGGGAGATGTCTGCCTATATATATAAGAGAGGGAGGGAGGGGTCTGCCTCGTGCTTCCTTGCTGCTGTACAGTTCTATTGTGTTAATCCAAGTTCAATCCCCCAATTTCTTCTCACAAACAACTAGCTCAACTAAGGGAGGGGCCTGCATTGTGCTTCCTTACTGCTCTACTGCTCTATTGTGTTACTCAAGCTTTATCCCCCAATTTCTTCCCACAGAAAACTACCTCAACTAAGATAGCAGTGGGGAGGACAGAAAGAAAATGAATTTGTTTATGATCTGTTTTGGTTTAACATTGTAGCTAAATAATGCCCGCGTGATGGAAGATTTGGAGCAATCGTGGGAGGTGCTTGCCGAACCAATACAAACTGTAAGCTAAATTCCTGCTCTTATGACCCAGAAGCATTGTAACATTCTTTGAGACAAAATCACTGATAAGAACTTTGGAGAGCCTTCTTCCTCTTAGGAACATTCAAGGGCCTTGCCTGTCTTTGGTGCTGCAAGGACAAACATACCACAATCAATAATGAAGTTTGCAATAAGATAGTATTGATACCTACTAGTATGCATTTATTTGTTGTGTGATTTGATGGATGGATGTTACAGGTGATGAGGCGTTATGGTATTCCAGAGCCGTACGAGAGGTTAAAAGAGCTGACTAGAGGTCAAGCAGTGACAAAGGAGAGCATGCAAGAGTTTGTGAGGGGGCTTCACCTTCCACAGGAAGCCATGTCTACCCTTCTTAACCTCGCACCCCATACTTACATTGGAGCTGCAAGAGACTTGGCCTCAAATGTTGATGCCTTTCTCTCATGATATATTAAGCGGGAAGGGGTCTTTTTTTTTTTAATGTATCGTTTTATTTTTCTGAGTTAGTATTACTATTTCTTATTGTTTTCTTCATTTTGCCCTTCTAAAATTTGGAATTATTTGACTCTCTATTCCTTCCTAATTAATGTCTATGTCTAGAGCGCCACATGCATTCAACATCAATTGTTAACTATCTTGAGCATATTGTTCTTATTCATACCCTCCATCACCACAAATTTTTTTGGTAAAAATATCATGAATTAACACTATGGTAATTTGAAATCTATGTAGCAATGGTCGTTTCTCTTTCTTGGTGAGCATTAATTATCCTTTCTTCATTCATTATTCTCTTTCCTTATATTAGTTATAGAAATGCTTGGCAATTACTATCATCATCATTATTATAATCAGAACCTTCTTCTAACTATTTTGGGTTAGCTATACGAATCTTGATCCACCGTTCTGTAATATTAAGATCAGTGAGGTCATAAGTCGTCGTATCTTTTATCACTGTTTCCAACCATGTTTTTTTGGGGCTATTTTTTTTGCTCTTTTTGAGCTTTCTAATTGAACCAATCAACATCCCCTACCATGTGCTGGACGGGGTTTGTGTTGTACAGATTCAGCCCACTTGAGTCTATAATTTTCATCTTATTGGCCATTGGAAATGATTGACATAATATTTTTATATTATAAATATTAAAATAAAAGTTTTTTATAGTTATAACTAACTATAATAATAGTATGAAAATAATATTTTAATATAGAGTAATGATATCATGCAATCGTTGTATAGTAATATGATGCAAAAAACGTTACAAAACCATCTTATGGTTATTTGTTTAATTCAAAATTTGAAATATGCACTCTTTTCATTTTAATGAACAATCACAGAAAAAAAAAAAATTGAAAACACAACCAAGAATGTATTTTTTTAACCCATTTAACATAGGTCGTTCATTTTGTTGAGATGTTTAGATCTAGATTTTAAAATGATTTTTTCATTTCTAATTTTTTGGATGATTTTATTATCATTAGATGAACAATGTTAAAAAAAAAAGAAAATGATTTTGAGTTTATAAAGGTTAAGATCTTAAAATTCACAAAATTCTAGATTCGTTTTTGGAGATGATTCATTTTGACCATATTTAAGGTTCAAATTGAACTTTTTTTTTTTGGGATTGATTATTGAGATGAAGAGAAACATTATTTTTTAGAAGTGCTATTGCATTATACTATGATACAACCGTTGCATTGGATCATTGCTCTTTAATATAAAATAAAGTAATGACTTTATACATAT